ACCCTTATGCTCGGAAGTCAACCGTTCGTTCAAAAGACCTATCATCTTGGTTTTGCAATAGTGTCTGAACACTAACTGCATAAGAAGTCATGCTTACTATTTAAATACAATCAAACAATAAATGTATGCAAATCAAATACAATCCTACGTACCTTCTTCGTTGTCTCTCGACCTTTACTTTGTTCATCAAGTTCATCCATCACACTACACCAACACAAAACAACCATAGACAATATATCAACCACAACCATCAAAATAATGTTACCAAAATCGGGCCTCAAAAATTACAAATCAAATAAAACACACCTACGCACAAAGGATTGTCACGCTCGACACTCCGTCGGTCACGGGTTCGGACAATAGTTCCACAACCGGAACTCCGGCGGATAGGACACCGCGCCAGTCAAGGGAATGAACCAAGTGGGAACACGCTACTACCTCAAAAAGCCACAATGTCTGCCTAGGTCGGAGGAAGAGGGACTCTATCTACCGTTCACGATTCCTTCCACAATCGACACTCCGACGATGCCACAAAAACCACAATTTGTAAGACTCATGGACCAGGAACAAAACTGGTACCATAGGCAAAAAAAGTGGGTACTTGGGTGGAGCTTTTTGCACAACAAGGCCAACTAAGTTCGCCACACTCATTTTGAGGTGCCTAGTTTCTTTTCCCTCATTTGTTCTACTTGTAAGTAATTTGGAAACAATAATTTAAGAATTTATTAACAAATTCGTGCCAAAAAAACCATAATTTGTAAGACTCATGGACCAGGAACATAACTGGTACCATAGGAAAAAAAAGTGGGTACTTGGGTGTAACTTTTTGCACAGCAAGGCCAACTAAGTTCACCACACTCATTTTGGGGTGCCTAGTTTCTTTTCCCTCATTTGTTCTACTTGTAAGTAATTTGGAAACAATAATTTAAGAATTTATTAACAAATTCGTGCCACAAAAACCACAATTTGTAAGACTCATGGACCAGGAACATAACTGGTACCATAGGCAAAAAAAGTGGGTACTTGGGTATAACTTTTTGCACAGCAAGGCCAACTAAGTTCACCACACTCATTTTGGGGTGCCTAATTTCTTTTCCCTCATTTGTTCTATTTCTAAATAATTTGGAAACAATAATTTAAGAATTTATTAACAAATTCGTGCCACAAAAACCACAATTTGTAAGACTCATAGACTAGGAACAGAACTGGTACCATAGGCAAAAAAAGTGGGTACTTGGGTATAACTTTTTGTACATGAAAGTCAATTAAGTACAACAAACTGAATTTCAACTGCCAAATATATTTCTGAACAATTTCTGAAATAAAATGTGATGTTCAACCAATACATAAATATGAAATGTAAGAACAAGTGTTCTTTCAACAATGTTCCCCAACATTCTACAAAATGCCTAAACATCATACATAAACAACATCATACATCTATTATAAATTCATTCCACACAAGTTGACAAATAAACCAACCTTTAATGAACACAATGTCTGCCAGTGGGAACACACACGAAGAAAAATGTGTGGGGTGGACTAATAATCCCGAAAAGCCTTCTTTTTGGTCCTCCGTTCAGGCGAAACTCCGGCGATGCTCCAGCGGCACTCCGGCGGCCACCGCAAGGGTCAGGCATAGGGAAGGAAGCGGGTGGGAGGAATTGAGACTCAAAACGCGCCCTTAGTTGGCTGGGTCGGAGGAAAGACGATGTCGTCTTCGTTTCGTCTGCGAACGCCGGAGCTGCAATGACCTTGAATCGGAACTGGCTGGGTGGAAGAAATACGGCAGTGTTAAACGTTGTCCGTAAGCCGACCAAACGTCGGAACTCCGGCGGCACTCTAGCGGCTCTCCATCGGTCACGGGCTATCTAGGGTTCGACTCTCTCTCTCTCTCAAGCTTCTCTTTTCTCTCTACGAAGCTCAATTTCAAACTCTGAAAAGTGAAATTGAAACCGTCAAACTTCAAACCCCTTCTACACTCCCTTTCCACATCATTTAAAATTTTCATTCCAATTTTCCACTTGGACCAGTAACATTTTGACACCTGTCCCGTGTCAAAATGTTATCAAAACCTGTTGTTAAAGTATCATTTCCCTTTTAAGAAATTTATTACATATGGAGTGTTTTAGATTTTGTATATAACGTTAAATGGTTCAATATGAATCCATTTTGGATTAGGATGGTTAGATTGTGTTCTGATTATTAATTAAAATTTTTTATAAACATACAAAGGAAGTCCAAAATTTTTTCCTAATTATACTTTAGCCATTTTTTTCTTTTTAAAATTGTATAGGAGCCTTAAGTTAATTAGATTGGACCAGCTTTGACCATTTAATTTCTTGCTTTAAATGAATAGAATTCTAACTTCTCTCAAACCCAAAAAATTCAATAGTCACAAATTCATCTTAAATTAATGGACATAAATAATATGCACTCAGGTGTGATTATTGAAAGCTTGTTTAGAGAGTAGTTATTGCTTAGATTTATAATTTTTGTATTATATGAATCTCCAAGTTTACAGAGTTTTTATATAGATTGAAAGTTTAAAAGTATTATTTCTCATTAAAGACTTATAATTATGTATGCTATTTGAATTATTTGAAACATTCTATATAAATTACATTTACTTGGAATATTTATTGTAACTATTGAAAATATTAATGTTTTTTAAATATCTTTCAAAAGATTACGAACAATAATTTTAACTGAATTAAGAATCATTGATTATCATATCATGTTCGGATTTGAGAAAATATATTAACTTATATTTAAATAATTATCATAAATAATTAACTAACTATAATTTAAAAAATATTATTATTTAAAATAATCAATTAATTTGTTTGTTATTTGTTTTTAGATTCATTTAAGGATAGTATAATGTATAATTATTAATAATAATTTATTAGCTTTGTTTTCTTAAAGAAATATATAATTTTTTTTTCTAGATAGAAATAAAGGACTAATAATTCCAGAATTTAAGAAACTTTGTCTTCCAAACGCGACTTACAATGAATTGTGTTTATGTGAAGTTAAAATTACATGAACTTGTAAGAATGTGAAATGTTGTAAGAATAATAATAATAATAAATAATAATAATAATAATGATAATATTATTAGTAGTAGATTTTATTTAAATTTATTTAAATGTTGTTATCTTTAATTAAATGTTTAAAATTCAGGTTTTCGATATAGATTTTTTTATATTTTAATAACTATACATTTTTTTTATAACTTTATATCATTTTTATATATTTCCATATAACTTTTTTATATATTTTTATTGCTAAAAAATTATATTAAATAATTTTAAAATGCTTTTTGTAAATATCCGTAAATATTAAAATAATAAGCAGATACCTTCGTAATGACAACCCCACATATATGAGAATGAATACGAGATGATATTTATCCAAGGGAAGCTATTACCCGTATCTGTTCCATCCTCTTCAAAAAGTAACAGGAAATTACTACCTGTATTTGTCCTGTCCTTTTGACACCTACTCATAATTATGAAAATCCAAAATAATATGATAACGTGTTTTTATAAAATATATTTTTAAAGTAAAAGACTAGAATATTAAAAAGTAAAATCAAATAAATATTATGATAAAGTTATTATTGTTTTCATTGTTCTTCAATAAAATAATCTTCATTTCCGTTTTTCTTTTGATTTATGTATCTTTCTCACTCATTTATTTTCCTTATAAAATAAAACATAAATTCAATTGAGAAATATTTCGCTTTCTCTTTATTTAATGATGTATACCTGATTTATTTTTCTTAAATAAGAAAAAGTAGTTTTCATAAAATGCTCGTGGATACTTTCTCATAAAAAGAAATTAGAAAATAAAAATTTATAAATTAACACTAACTAATATATAAATGAAAATGTTTAAAAAGTTAATATGAAAAAACTTGTATAAAGGAATTTTAGTTTATGACAATTTTTTTTTAATGGTTTTTAACTTTTCTTCTAAAAGTATAAATTTCGTTTATCAATCAGGTTCATATATTAAAATGGTTAAGCTGTAATATATATATATGATTTTTGAAATTAAAAGAGAAGGAATAATATTGTTTAAATATTTTGAACATGTAAAGGTTGAATTATAAATTCAACAAAAGTAAATTCTTAAAAGAGGTCTTATAAATACAGCAATGCTCATTTAAGTATTGACCAATTCTTTGATTGTTGCATGATAATTAGATTGAGCTGGAGCTCATACTAAAGGGAAGAAAAGGGGATCACATTGAGTTGAAATGTTCCACTTGAATAATTCAACCTTTTTTTCAATAAAAAGAAGAAAAAAAAATCCCTAATTGTATAATGAGTGAAGCTTTGATTAAGATCAATAACACCTAAGAGGGTGACATCAAATACGCATCCACATGCAAATTGACTAATTCTAAATCTCCATTTTCTTAGTTATTTTCCACCCTCTCTCTTTATTTACTATTTTATAATATTAATTATTACAATTTAAGATTCATCATAACTTTCATTAAAAAAAAGAAAGTGATTTATTATTAATTCACCAGACTGTGTTGGTAGGAAGCATCGTACTCACAAGTCAAGTCACAGGTCCAGAAAACTGGCCATAATGTATGTTGGTATTCTAAAACATACACTTTTATTAATAAAAAACACTTTTTACAAGGAACTAAAATATAATATTCAGTTAAATGCATAAACTTAAAATATATTTAAGTATAAAAATTATTATCCAATCTAACCTAAAGTAACCACCCATGGCAAAAAAATGATACATTAAACAAAAAAAGACAACATAATGTGAAAAATGAAACATTTGGTATGTTCCACAAGTGGGACCCATAAATCGTGGCGCGTAATCCGACGTGTAACCGAGGTTGTCGGATTCATGACCACATAAAACACGGCCACAATCAAACACAATAATACACCAAAATTCAAACCCAAGAAATACGAAAAAAAGTTAAAGAGTTTGTGGGATTTGGTCAGAGTTGACTACAAAGGCTTCTAGACCCAAAACTAAAGACTCTTTGTTGCATTTCCACACCCCAGAGACAACATAACAATGACTCACTGCCCCTTCTCTTTCGAATCCTTCTTTGCGCCAAAGAAATTGCTGCAATTCTTCACAATTTCCTCTGCCCTTTCCTTTTCTTTTCCTCTCTGCAACAATCTTCGTTACCCTCTACAACCCTTTTTCCCTTTCTTCTTTTTCAACTCTCTCTTGTCCATCTGCTTCCTTCAATTTTCTATTTTTTCACCTTCAGCCACCTTTCCAGTCTAACCTGCTAACCATGCCTGCCACAGCTAACTAGGTACCTTCATCTTTCATCCATTTTTTCATTACATTGTTTTTCTGGTGCACACGTTACAAATGTTTTTTCATTTCATAAGACTCTGTATCTCTGAATGTTAAATTTTCAATACGTGGTGTTTTTATACTTTTTCATTTCCTGCAATGTTTGTGAAGATTGAACTTCGTTTTATGTGTATGTTTATGTTTGTCGTTTCTCCACTTCTAGCAGCATACTTGCTTGCTGTTTATTCACAAAGGTTTGAAATAGGAGAAAAATGAGAATCTGTGGCCGTGAGATCTTCGGTTTTGTTCCCTACGGAATACGGTAGAAGAGTTTTAAATGGGGTAAGTTGAGAATTATGGATTTATCCCGTGAAACACGTTCCACCTGTTTTGCCATGATTTTCTGATTCTAGAAAATGTTCATTTTAAAGGGCATTTTCTTCTTTGGGAAATGTATGTTGGGGTATGTTATAGTTGGTATAAGTGACAAATTCAATTAGCCCTGAAGATCACGTCTGTCCCAAATTTGGAATGTGAGGGAGATTTTTTTATTATAAAGTTATATTGTTCGCTGCATCTTGCAATTTCTCCTTTTCCATAACTAACTTAGAAATTTTATTGCAACAATCCAAGCTAAACTTTATTTATTTGTTATTTGTGTGCAGACAATGTTGGAAATTTGATCTTTGACATCTTCATCTCTGTGAAAAAAGTTGTGGACTGGGCGACCTTTGGACTGTAATCAATTACATATCTGAGCCAAATGTCTGGTGGGTTAGTTCCTCCAGTTCGGGTTGTTAGATGCCCTAAATGTCGGTTACTTCTTCCAGAGCCTACAGGATGTGATTTGTACAAGTGTGGTGAATGTGGCACTACTCTTCAAGGTGAAATTCTATTTTATATTCCAATCTTTTTTATCACTTATTTTCCTTGATTGATTGAAGTACGTCGTCTTATTTATGTTAACTCTATGAACCAAATCATGCTGCTTCAATCTGATGCCAGACCCCTTGTGCATCTAAATTTTGCTAATAAATTCAATTTTTTAAATGGGGTGCTAATTCTATTTTATACACTCTACATCTTATGGATATGAGTGACTTAAATCCTTTTATATGTCTCCATACAGCTAAGAAACGATCAGGTGTGAATGTTAGTTCTCAATCCAGTACACAAGAACCTATTGCAGCTCCTGGAAAGCTTCTGGTTCCCTCTCGGGAATGTAGTTTGAACGAAAAAACTTCTTCTGCCGATTGTCATGTAGTTGGAAATAGTAACAGGGGACAACTTGTTCCGTTTATTTTATCTGATGAAGAACAAGAAACTGAGTCGGATATCTATAATTTGTCACACAGAAGGCGTAGAATGTCCAGCAAAGGTTGTTCAAATTCAAATAAGACCAATCACTCTGAGATTGAGGAGGTAAATGAAGGAGAGTTGGTAGAAGAATTGAAAGAGGAGTTTGTTTGTGCACTGGATGAAGATGGCTATAATGATAGATCAGCTTCAACTCTGAAAGGGGTAACATCTGAAAAGAAAAATACTGAAGTTGACCTAGAAGGAGCGAGAGAGTTCATTTCTGAGTCAGATGGACAAAATGCCAACAAAGGCAAATCAGTTGTAGTAGGTGCCGTCCCTAATAAAGTAGAAATTACTGAAAGCATTGATTCAGAAGGAGAAGAAGAGTTGAATGGTGGAAACTTGTCATCAGAGGGAGCAGAAGAGGAGTTTAGTTCTGCATTGGAAGAAGATACCAATAATTATAAATCAGCTCCAGTCGGTGAAAGCCTTGAAGTGAAAATCACTGAAATCAATAGAGCAGAGGAGTTAAATGATGGAAAATTGTTTGTGGAAGCAGAACATACACCGGATGGAGAAGATTCCAAAAACAATCCATCAGTTATAGACGGTGGAAAACCTGAAGTGGGCACTACAGAAAGTGCTTCTACTACTATAAGGTCAAGTACAGAGGAGGAAAACATTTTATACGTTATGCCTGATAAACTTGAAGTTCCACCTGCTAATCTTGTATCCTCTCATAAACAAAAGACGCAAGCTCAAAAAGATGTTCACCGTGGCTTTGATCGTGTAAGGTCTGTGAATACAAGAGATAGCACAGAATTAATTGATCACAGTTCAGAGCTTAGTGATATTCATGTTGGAAAATTGTCCAAGTCCCCAATTGCTAAAAGCTCTCATGCTTATGATGGCAGCCTCTCTTCTTATGATGCAATGGATGAGAGGTCAACTAGCCAATATTCAGGTTCGTTTGACAACACTCACACCATTACTAATGATGTTTCTGAGGGAAGGACCAGAAAGGGTAAAGGTCTTGTTCAAAACTTGCTCTATGGAGACTTTGGAACACAACGTCAATCACATTTGTCCGATGCGAAGCACCATGCCAAGAAAGAAGATGGCTGGGGTAATCAAAACAAAGTGGTTGAGGAGACTACAAGAAATGGTCATCGACGCTGGAAGAGCACAAAGAGAGACGAGTTTCCTCCCAAAATTCCTTTTCATCGAAGTAGTTCTCGTTCTTACTATGAAAGCGGAAACTCATCAAACCATATGCATGATGAGATCCACCGCAGCTCGAGCTTTCTTTCACATGAATCCTTTGAGGAAACTGACCAAGAGAAGACGAAACTGTTCAACATGATTCATAAGTTGCAGGATCAACTGAACAGGACTCTATACACGAGTAGAGCAGCAAATGGAAGACTGTCCAAGGGTGTGGCTTACAAGGGAAATCGTATTTCTGCTTACCATAATAATGACTTTGATGAGGGGAGAAGGTTTTCTTATGGTTTGGATTACCCTTTGTGTAATGGAAGATGTAGTCATGGAGTCAACTGGCACCAAAGGCATAATAAATCCTCACGGATACCTTATTCAGCTGAGGCAACAAGCAGTGCATTCAATGTTGATCATTCTTGCTACCATTGTCGTTCCCAAGAGAGGCAGTTTTCAGCAGATATCTCACCACATGGTCTTTTCCAGCATGAAAGGCTACAGAGGTCCTGTGCAGGCCGAGACTGTTGCTCTTTTTCTAATCACTCCTATCCTTCAAGTCCACAATGGTTCACAGGTTCTAAACTTCCACCAATGTACGGACGTGAAACAAAATCTGATGATCAGAGGCGTAGGGTTCCTGAGTTAAGTAGATATCTAAGGGAGAAAAGGAACTTGGTAGCTAAGAGACACCACAGGCCAGTGGCAGGTGGAGCTCCTTTTGTCACTTGTCATAAATGCTTAAACCTGTTGCAGCTACCTGCAGATTTTCTCCTTTTCAAAAGGGCATGTCATCAGCTGAAATGTGGGGAATGTTCAGAGGTGCTCAAGTTTTCACTTCATGGAAGCCATATAGATTTATTTTCATCAAATAATGCTATTGGCTCTCCATCAAGGGACCTAAACGACCAAAGCCGGTTGATTAGTAGCAGCAGTCTACCTTCAGCATCACATGCAAAGTATTACCGTTATTCACCTGCAGAGGCCATTTCATATTATGATGATTATAGTCTTTCTATCTCTAAAAGCTACTCCTCGGAAGGAGAGCCTATTTCTTTGGCACATTCTCATCAGTTTCATGGCAATGAATATGATAATCCAAGAGTCTCTCGTGGTATATTTGAGCCTTCAACTGAGAAGGAGAACGTTGCTCCAAGATATTCTAGTGCAAGGAAGGGTTTGGTGGAGACAGATGAATCAGCTATCTTTCCCACCAATATGTCTGGATCTAGGAAATTGACATCAGAAATGTGGGCAAGGCCACCACAAAAAAGTTCATCACTTCATCTACTGATGGGATATTCTTCACCAAGTCAAGTAATAAGAGGGTCTCGGACTTCTTTTGAAGGTGACTAAGGAGCTCACAGTTGACAAAATCATTAAAGAGAACTATAATGTTTGTTGAAGCTGGAAGGATCAAGAATGGGGGAGTTCTGTCAGAATTTGACATGTAATAAGGCATCCACATGAAGACTTGAAGTGATTTTCTTTTTCTTCCTGATTTTATTTTTTTGTATCACAAGCCATTTATCTCCATTATTCAATTTTTGTATACAATTTCTGTAACATGTACTCTGTTTATAATAATCGTCATCTAATGATTTTGGTGTATAAAATGTTTAGTATCTGTATTTTAAACTCTTCAAAAATAAGAGTCAGCGTCTTGACAAAGAGTGAGCTTAGCAAGATGTTTAGATTACCGCTACATTTGAAATCACCTTTTATACCAATCATTAAATGAATAATATATAAATATAAAGTCTTACAAATTTGCTATTTTAAGATCTTGGGTTAAAGATTATTGATTTTGTGTAAACTTATTATATATACTTTTACATCCTGTATATAAAAGATCACATTTTAAAAGAAAAAAGTATAGATATTGTTTTTTTTTTAATTTAATCACCAGCTATAAATGTAATTTGTCAGGACCTATTAAATGCATCTAAAGCCATTTGTTAGACTCATTAAATGCAACCCACGATCCCTGCTCAGTTGCATTAAAAACGCACTCACAAACTCTGACGCACTAATGCCAAGTGTCAAAATGGAAGATTCGGAAGTCAGTAAGTGAAGTGCAGGTGTCAGCAGAAGAGTGCACGACTGTTTGGACGTGGGGCAAACAAAAATGATTTCTGAAAAAAAAAACCTGCCACACTCTTCTGCATGCACCTTCTTCTTCCCAAACTCTGAATATCCATTTTCTCCTCCTTCTCTCTAGAAACTTCCCCTTCTCTCTACCAAAACTCACTTTTTCTTTGCTTCGATTACCGTTCAGACACCGTAGGAGCACTCCCGGCGTCCCAAGCTACAACTTGAAACGAACAGTTTCGAATTCTGAAACTGGTAAGTTTCCTTTCCCTTAGTCGTTCGTTCTTCTGGACATGCAAACCAAGTTCTGGTTGCATGAGTCCTTAGTTTAATTCTGAACCCCTTTTGGTCTGTTGTTTGATTTGAAGAGTAGTTGAACGTTGAGGGTAGAAGGAATCTTAGTTTGACAAAACCGAGTTGCGGTCTGTAGGACGTTCGTTCACACTAGAGGTAAGGGAAGCTTATTCAATTTAATTCGTATGTTTGTATTATGTTGTATGGACGTTCTGTGAGTTGTATGAAGCATGAATTTATGATATTTGATTTTTGTATAGGATTATGATTATGATATGATACATGAGAAATATAAAATGTACTATGATATGAGTATTTGAAAATATGAAACTTTATGCTGAGAAATGAGTTTAATGTTAATGAAACTTTGAATATAAATTCCCTATGATAATGAACGTTCGTCATTGAACGGTCTTTGACCGTTCGGTGCTGTTAGTAAACTTCTTTGAATTGAATTCTTTCATTTGGAAAGAATTCTAGTTGAGGACGAACGCCCTCTTTTAAGAGTGCTACGTTTGAGCGTTCGGCCAAACGTAGATGCCCTAAGTGTTATGTGAGAAATTGAGAAGCTTGTAAATATACATTCGGACACTTAGTCATTCTTAAAAACCTAACTTCACCATCTCATATTATATTAATTTCTATTTCTATTATCAGCTCGAATCAGTGATGGGTCTCGACCCAAAGCGTTCGTTATGAGTGGCGCTCGGTCTTATAAACGCTCGTCCTCGTACTTAATTACCAAACGGGTGGAAATAGCGTTCGTCCAAATTTCAGTAAATCTGTGTACTGCGTTCGGTCATTGACTGGCAGTCGGTTTTTATAATTGAATTGTTCTCGATATGGTCATTTAATCGTCTTGAGGTGCCTTTATCTATTTGGATTCGGCCTAGAGCCTTCTTACTTAAATTATTCTTTGAGTATTGATCGGATCTTCCTAGAGTCAGTTCATTCAACTGATTCGAGTGGTAAATGACGTTCGTCAAATATTATGTGTCGGTTTTATTCTGTTCTGAAACGAGGATTTCTCGGTCTTGTTTTTAACGTTCGTCCTCGTTATGAAGAGGGCTGAACGCTCGTCATTTTATGTAATTGGAAAGGAAGATGAAAATGATATTAAAGTGAAAAATTATAAAGAATGAACAGTATATGAGATGAAATGATGGTTGTGGATTTTGAACGAGCGTTCCAGGGAGGAACGACTCTTGGATGAAAGTTGGAATTTGTAAAGTATGAATGTGGACAAAGCTTAGCTGGCGATTCATCCTGATGTTCCGTGAGTGCTCGTCCTCACGTAGAGGGGAGTATGTCATGTGTGGGAACGGCAGGAGGTCCTAGTCCTTAGTGGTACTTTGGATGGAAGGGACTAACCTCGGGTGGCAGCTGATGATAAATTCCAGTTACTACACCACCTGGGTGCACGAACGTCGTAGCTACACAGAATTCATACAGTCCGGACATTCAGTCTAGTATCAGGAATTGATTGAACTCAGAAATTGATTGATTTGTATATTGGAATTTTTGATATGTTTGATATGTTGAGAAATGCCTGTTATTATTTGAATTAAATTAAATAAGCTTACCCTGCGTTTTCCTTGTGTTGTCTTGTTTTGTACGTCCGTCCTTGTCTTTGCAATGATCATCCGTGTGGATGTGAGCAGATGGAGAGGCATTGCTTGAGGAGACGCTTGAAGGAGGAATCTTAGAGGAAGAAAACCTCGTCGATATAGAAGTGAAGGCCGAACAGTAGTACGTTCGGGTAAATGTTTAGCGTAGTTAGTTTTGTATGTTGCTTTTGAACAACCACTCTCCCCTTTTGCTTAATTTGACCGTTCGGTATTTATGCGTTGTAAACCGTTCGGTCATTTATGTTTATTGAACATCTTTAGATATTTGTATTAGTTTATGTAAGGTCGTTCGGCCACGAGCATGCTTTATTTCTTTAGTATAAGACTGAATAGAGATATTAATCAATGTGAATATTTTATTTATATGGTTTATTACTGTAATTATGTGATGTTACATAATTCATCTTTTAAATTATGTCCATCTCACTTTTAAAATGGTTAAATTGCTTAAACAATTTACAAATTGGCACAAAATTGTCATCCTATCTCTTCTCCTTCCGCAGTATTTTATTTTCTTCCGTTAGTTTTCAAACTTTTAAGTTTTATTAGATAAGAGCTGCCATATATGGGCCGTTTATTTTCTCTTCTTGAAGTATAATTGGGATATAAGGTTAACTTCTAATCCATTTCCTTGGAAAAAATAATGGAAACCAACCTAAACTATTATTCATATTCTTTTTTATACTACACAAATTTTATTATTATAAATAATCATTGATTCATATCATTAAAATTTCAAATTATCTAATGAATATACTTTATTTAAACTTTAATATACAGTTTAAATGTTAGAAATCATAAATGTATTCTTTACTTTAACTTATAAATCCATAAAATCACAATATTATATATGTATTTTTATACTATTTTTTATATTTTTTAATTACTTAAATAATTTTAATAATACCCAATAAATTCCAGGGCAACAATTAAATCTTGGTCAAAGCTCAACAATTAAATCTTAAATTAATGTCTTTATAAGTCGGATGTCAAAATCATTGATGCTTGCCATTTCACTCTCCCCTGTTATCCCAAATTGTTAACCTTAAACCCTGGCAATTATTTTCATATGGAGAAAACTACATTTCATACAAATTGATCTGGTCAGTTTTATAATAGTTTGACTTGCTGGTGCACATTCAAGTTTTCTTTCTTTTGGTTGAGAAATCTGAAGCAAATCTTCGATAGCATCAGCACATAAAAATAGGACAAGAACATCCTTTCACATACATAGCTGTTTTATCTTGAGTATAATAATTCATATGCGATGGGAATCTAACTATGATTCAATCATCATCTGTATCTGAACAAGACTCTGAATCTTCATGGGCTTGCAACTCGAAAGGTCTCAGTCTGTTTGTATTGGCTTCCAGTGGAGGTAGTCCATCATCATCACTGTCCTCCAGCTCATTCTCTTGTTGGGAGGCAGAAGTTTCATTTAATTCATCAACCATTGCAGATTTAAAACTTTCAGGCCTATATGTTGGCAAATGATTGAAAGAGTGAGCATAATACCTTGGGCAAGAGTACCGATAGATTCTACCATAAAAAATCCAAAATTTTATATAGAAAGTAAATATATGGTTATTCAACAAGGGAACCCAAAGCAAGTGATTATACAAAAATCAAAGCAGGAAACAATACACACCATTCAGGAGTTTTCTGTAGTTCTCGAACTTGATCGTAGAAAAGAACTTGAGAAACAAGGCATGCAACCTTGCTTGCTACCCGATTCAAGAGCCTTTTCCTTTCCAGTTACATCAACAACAACAAAGCTCCCTGCAACATGAGAAAGAAGGGTTAAATGTTAAACTCTTTGGCAGATGGGTTGGAGTAACAAAATCTTAAAGAACACATATACATAACAGAACATGCAAATAACTCAAACAATGTTTCTAGCAGTACACACTGCAAATATGTTTGAGTTTGACAACGATGGATTGTTTAACAAAACAGATTGGTGAAGTTGACATGGCTTCTAAATAAATAAATTCTACGCTCCATATAGACAAATTCATTCTTAGATAAATTTTTTCTGAATTCTCGAACAACGAAGCAGTAAAGGCTTAAATAAAAACAGCTTGTTAAGTACATTTGAAAAGGAGACAAACTATAACTATCCATTCCATGACATGGTCGGTGAATAAACTATCACTAATGTCCAGATAGGAAATCAGCAATTATAACAACCATTTGATTACTATTATCAGTGAAGCAATTGATTTTGTTTCTAAAAACTAGTAATACAAATTAACATGGCATAGTGCTGAATTGCTTTTTAAATAGGACAGACCTAGTTTAATCCACACGCTTTTCCGAAATTTGGCAGGGAAAAGAGCCAGTGATTTGTTGCCACATGCATCCTCGACCTTCACACGTCAAAATCCAAATATAAATGAGAACCTATACACACATAAGTAGTATACACATTATAAAGGGGTGTTTATATTGAACAGATTGATTTTAAGAGAAATCATAAAAGGATACACGCAATCCCTGCCACACTATTACAAACTATTTGCTTTCACAAAAGTATCAATGTTTTGTTTACTACCAGAGTAGAACTGCAACTTATTGTCTTTTTTAATATGTACTTTACCTCTCATTCTCACAGATGCAAACATTCAAATAATATTCCTTGATGCTCCACCAAAGTTTGTCAGTTTGACCAGTTATTTTCTCATTTTCCTCAGCATGAATAAAAAAGAAAGTTTGGAAGATTTCGGACTGGTAAAGCAATACCTCAATGATATTAGAGCCTCGTAAAGACACCACCTGCATGATGCTTTGCCCATCTTGAAGCGTGACATGTTTTTCCTCTGTAGCCCTCTTCAAATTCTTCCTTCCTCCTCTCATGGCCACCTAAAACCCTGATGTTCTATTTGACAAGGATTCTCACTACACTATTGTGTATCACAAATGGCAATTTAACAGACTAACCCAAAAGACAACGTTACATAATTCAATAATTTATATTCCATTCTCGCATACATGTTCAGAAACACCAATAACATTATGTGTCCAAAGGCAGCTGTGCACAACAATATTTCAACCATCAAATAGGGGAAAACTAAAAAACCCAACCCTTGACAGAACCAGCAGCTGTTAACAGTAGATGCCATGAAAACATAGCCCACTCTCTCACTGTGTGTGGGCTAAAAACAACAGAAGTTGTAAGTACGTAGGTCCACACATGGTTTGCTTGAGCACTAAAACTGCACCTCTTATGTTTTGCAAAAGAAAAATCCAAAACGAAGTAATTTAGTTGTTCGAAAAACAACATAGAACTTACTAATTCATTGCCTACATAACCAATTCAAAAGAAAGTTTACATAAACAGTTCAAAACCCAGTTAAATTAATGGGTTCTGTGATTGAAGAGTTCGAGCAGAGCATCTTTTTGAGGCAAAATATATACCAATAAAATGTCAGCGGCAATCAAATTAAATTTCAGAGTTTCTCTTCAAAAGCAACAAAGAACATTAGCGCATTAACCAGCCAGCAACGAACATCAGAGTAACATCGCAAACTATATACAATGCAGAATAAACATTTTATCTCATGCGTTCAAGCCAAAAATTAAAAGTACACAAGATTAACTCCCCCATACCTTGGTTGGTTATAGCTCTTCACACGGTCAAACCCCCGGAACCCAAGATTCTCTGTCTTCTATGTCCCACGGTCAAACCTCCCACGGTCACAACCCCTCTTCACGGCAACTCCGCTTCGTTCTCCTCTCCTTCAATCTCCCTCACTTCGCAACTAAAAAAACGCTCCCTTTTTCCACTCCAGCCCCAAAAACTCCCGAAGAATCTCCCTCTCTCTATCTCTCAAATATTCGCGCCGCTATCTCTCTCCCGAAAACCCTAATCGCTAATGAGCAAAGTAAAAAGAAAAGATAGTTGGGCTTCGATAGCACACATTTTTTTTATGGTCGGAATTGGTTTCCTAGAAAACCGAATTGTAAGTTATATATATATATATATTTTTTTATAATCTTAAGATAGAAGTTATATATATATATATATTTTTTTATAATCTTAAGATAGAAGTTATATATATATTTTAAGATAGAAGTTATATATATATATTTTTTATAATCTTAGCTTAAAATTTTATATTTTAAAATTCTGATTTTTATTTTTGAAGTATTTATAACAAAACATTTAAATAACTTTTATTCAACAATTCAATGGTATATAGTAAGATACCTGAGACGAGCGGTCGACATCCATCATCCAGTGTTACAATCGCTTTATCCACAGGTTTAGCAGCGCTCGTCAACCCAGATCAAACATGCCTTGCGCACGTTAAAAGTCAAATCAGATTAACTCAATCAGGTCAATCCAGGTTTAGCACTCAGTCAGGTTAAACAATGTTGGACCATGGCCCAACATTTAAGTAATTGGACTGATAGCCCACCAGAAGATGAAATAGTCAAAAAGATCTGATTAAAGATATGAATGACGCGGATTACGAACAACTAACCAAATTTTAAGGTAAACTGTTTAAGGTAAGTCTGTTATAGATTTTATTAAGGTTAAATACAAGAAAGAAAAGAAAGACCAGATACGTTCTATTGAATACGGAGAAATACTCTATTAGGAGGAGAAGATTTTTCCTTGAAGAGTTGAGGCTCCATAACCCACATCTGACTTGAGCGTCGGAGTATCTTCGCAGGTACACCCCCCTCTATTGAAGTGGAAGCAGAGGGAACGTGACCGACATCCAGAAAGGTGAACCGGTTGTATCAGCTAAGGAGAAGTAAGAGTTCCAAACATTTAGAAGCAGCAAAGCTACACCAGCAAGGTCCGTATCTCGATCCCAAACATCTATACCGAAACAAATGGTATAATGTATTTATTGGTGCACTAAACACCACCCATCACTATTAAATTCCCTCATCCATCTAAAATAAAAAACATGAAACAATAACTTGAAAGCAAACTCATTCAGGAAGCTTAGAGAGACGTGTTTTTTTGGAAATTAACTACATCTTGTACAGTAGTCTAAAAATTATAGGTTGATAGTCATTTGAAAGCTCTTTGAGTCTAGATTCCAACAAAACAAGAATCAACTCATTTGGAGTTCGGTGAAGAACGTTAAGAGCAAAACAACTAGCAAAGGTCAGAGTTGGCAAGAATATATAAAGCGTTAACTTTAACGAATAAACTACACCTACTCAGATGTCCAAAAATTACAAATTAGTAGTCATTGGAAAGTTTTTTGAGTCTAGTTTCTAATAAAAAATAATCACATCATTTGGAGGTCTGTGGAAAAAGTTATCATTAACATAGCCAACAAAGCTCAAAGTTGACAACATGTTATCTCACTCAAATTGCCTTTGGCTATTTATGTGCCAACAGGTGGATCCTGCAGCATAAGTTTTTGTACAAAACCATATTTTTGTTCGTGTAATCGTTTACAAGGCCCTTATAATCGTTTACACGAACAAAAATCTCGCTTTGTACAAAAACTTGTGCTGTAGGAACCAGCAGTGGGCACATAAGTAGTCAAAGACATTTTACGTAATTTTTTTCATATTTCTTGAATGGATGAGAGTTCTTTTTAATGTTTAAGTGTGAGTAGAGCCTGAAAATTGGGTTTTGGGTAGTCCTTGGTGGAGGAAAGACCCAATGTTGGTGTCATGACCAAGTTAGGTGAAGTCCTAAAACAAGTACATGTCATTTTGTCTCTTGTAATCGACTATAAGAGCCTTGTAAATGATTACACGAACAAAAATCTGGTTTTGTACAAAAAGTTGTGCTGCAGGACCCAATTGTGGGCACATAAGTAGCCAAAGAGATTTTTCGTAATTTTTTTCATATTTCTTCAATGAATGAGAGTTCTTTTTAATGTTTAAGTGTGAGTAGAGCTTCAAAGTTGTGCATTGTAACAACATTATATGTCATATTTCTTAATTAATAAAATGACAAATTTTCCTTTGACACCCCGAAAAATGAAAATTTTGGTCTATTTTAGGTTAATTTTTCCATTTTTTGACCCAAGAGATGATAATTAACTTCAATAGAGGACAAAGTGATTGAAATTAGTGAATGAAACATTTTCTTTAATTTTAACTCAAATTGTCTTGCATAACAATGGCTGAAACGCAGCTGACATTATGACTACATCGAACATTAAAAGTGGTAATTAACTAATCATTCTCCATAATGGCGTCCAGTTCCATAATGTGGTCGTCGCCTATTCCTAGTTGGATTTATCCTTCCTTGTGGAGGTCTAGGTGGTTCTTCTTGTGGAGGTCTAAGTGGTTCTTCCTGTGGAGGTTGTGCTTCAATATGTTCTTCACGTTCATCTCCTCCACAAGCAGCAGAGGAAGTACCTATTTCGTTATGACTTTCAACAAAATAAAACGAGTTATCATAAGGTCCCCCAATAGTGTGGGCCAAAGGTGGAGTAGGGGCATAAGTTTCAAACAAGCTTATTAACATACCATGGATGCAATATACACAACTTTATGTTTTTCTTGCGTCTACAACAACATCTTTGAAGTGTTTTGGTCATCTAGGATTTAATTGATGACAATAATATCAGTATGTGATGAGGTTATGAACAACCACAATTGAAGATATATGTAGACAAAGTCTACATAGGTAATAAATTTGCATATGATCAAAAGCAAGTAAATAATTAACATTGGCAGACCTCTTTAACACCACCACATTCACATGTCCATGCTACATACTAAATTGGTTGTAAAAAATTAAATACCACATCATTTTTGTTTTATTATGAAAGAATATAATAATAATACTAAAGAAATGAATAATTTAATAATATTTATAATAAAGTTGAATTGGAAGTATGTGTTGAAAAAAAAAGAATGGACAGTACTTTTCGCGTGCATGGAAATAGTCATATTTCACATGGCAAAAGTGAATGGGTACAACTAAATCAAATTTAGTAGACCCCATTAAATTCACCAAAATCTCCATCTGTAAAAAAATGACATCCAGTCATGCGTAATGCATGAAAATAATTAACTTTTGCACATGAAAACAATAAATGTCAATTGCTTCATAGAAAGTGGTGCAAATGTGGACAAAACATTAAGCGTGAGTTGTCAGACCTTCAGCATGTGTGAAAACAATAAATGCACTCATTCACCTCTACTTGTTTATTTTTAACCCTTACATTAAAGTGATACACAATGTGCACAGTCAACATTTCAGCCTATAAATGAAGGAACTTCTACCTTATTCCATCAATCCAATCAAGTCACTAAAAAATCATTGTAAACAGCCATGACATCTACACCATTACATGTGTTAGTGTACTTCAATATCACTATCTTCGTAGAAGAAAACTATTCCAAAACATACATTAGTTTCCAAACAGCTTGGGTCACCATTGTTGATACGATGAGTATTGTCGAAGTGAAGCAAACAATCCTTAACCACTTCAACATGTCAACGTTAAACCAATATCAAGTTGAATTACAATACAGGTTATCAATCTACATATGTGGTGGCACTGCACATTATCGTTCATGTATAATTTCTGCAGATTACAACTTGGAGGCAATATTTTTTATGGCAACACAAAAAGTTGTGCAGGTTCATGTTGAGATAATGACATTTATTACACCAATTCAACCAAACACAACCGCTAATGAAGTTTATTATGATTTGATGAATAACTTCAATTTCTCACTAAATCTTGATTGAGGATGACCTACCTTATTTTTGAAAAATGTATTGAAGTATTGCATGTTATTTATCGTTGTTCCACTTATCTAATTTTAGTCTACACATTAGTAAATGAATGTATTATTGAAAGTGACATCATCAATTAAGCTACTGTGCAACTTTTACCTATAAAACATGCACTTATCAACCATTTACAATACACACATTCAAACATCTAAATTTACTCTTCATTGTGTTTTCTTCTCCATTCAAACATCTTCTACCACAACTTAAAAGGACCTTGTTAACATGGGTAACTACTTCTTTTTTAAATATTTTAACCAATTAAATGTCGTCTTTATTATTCTTCGTTAGCCGTAATCATTACTATTTTCTTAAATATTTTTGCAACATACGCAATGACTGAACCGCGATGTAACTATTACTACAATATCATTAGGGAAACCAATCTCGAAGCAGCAACTTTGATTGATCAAATTCCAAGACAACAATTCACACTTGCGTATGATGAGGGCAAAAGATGGGGTCACCTAACAACAAATCTAGCCGAAGCAATTAACTCAGTCCTGAAGAAGACAAGAAATTTACCAATCTCCTCCATAGTATTGGCCACATACACAAGATACAACTCCTTTTTCACAGAAAGACGGAAACAGATAACTGCAATGATAAGTGCTGGTCATGTGTATTCTAAAAAGGCCACGAAGGTCCTACAGGATGTTGATTCGAAATCAAACACCCACAGGGTTGCTGAATTTGATAGAAATACAACAAGATTCAGAGTCGAGGAGATGGTAAACCCAAGAGAAATACGACCTGCAGGAAAATTTGTTGTCAGATTGAATGAACGATGTTGTGATTGTGGGAAGTTTCAAAAGATTCATCTATCGTGTTCACATGTCTTAGCAGCTTGCAAACATGCTCATCACGACTTTAACATTTACATTAGTCCCTACTATAGGTTGGATGTCATCATGAAAGTGTACAATAATATGTTTGGGGAGCTACGACATGAAGAATATTGGCCACCATACCGATGCACAAAAATTTGGCCTCATCCAGCCACAAAAAGGAATGCAAAGGGTAGACCAATATCATTCAGAATCAGGACTGAAATGGACATCAGGGAACGAGCACACCCACGAAATTGCTCATACTGTCAAACCCCAAGCTACACAAGAAATCATTGTCCTCACAATCCTGGCATTAGAGGGTCCATATCCCATTATGGAGATTGATTAATTAAATACTAGTTTTAATGTTCG